GGAAAAAGGGGCCTCGTTCCTTATTTAGGGTTCCTTAGGTCAAGGCCCCGACTGTAGCCACAGAGGGCCCAAGCTCGCCCCAACAGCGGGCCCAAGGTCGCCCCACGAGAGACTCAGAGGGCGTCCGGAGGAGCCCAACAGGGCCCAAGATCGCTCGGGGGTGGACAGAACCCCCAACAGTGACACGTCGATTAGTGAATTCTCCGTTTTCGGTTCTCGAGAGGGCGCCGTGGCCGTCATTTTCCAGGCTTGCGCCCGCCAGGTTTGGGCCTCAGGTCGTTTTCACTAAACCACGTTTTGCTAAAGGGGGGGTCTGTCCATCCCCGAATCGCCCCGAGAGGGCCTCCAATTGCCACAGGCGGGACCCAAGAGGACGCCAAGACGGCCCAGGACAGCCCACGTGGGACCAATCACGGCCCAAGGTGGCAGAGGCCAGAGGGTGTCACGAGGGGGGCCCCGAAGCCCAGGACGGCACCGAGAGGCGCCAGGATTGCCGCAGTATGCCTCGGGAGGGCCTGGGAAACGCCCAAGACGCTCCCAGGGAGCCTTCCAGGGGCCATCCCAGAGCCAAAAACATGTGGCTTCTCAAACTTTTTCGCTTCCCACGCTTTGTCTTGTATCCTCCCCCCATCCGTCCTGCGACGGCTTGGAGCGCATTCGGTTTTCAAGGTCTATTGTCGGATAGCTCACAGCAGAGTTTGGCTGGACGGACATCTCGGAAGGGGTCGGGTGGTGCCCGTAAGGCCTCGGATTGCGCGCAGACAGCCCCCCCGTGTCGTCCCAGCTGGCCTCAACAGGCCCCCTGAGTAGTCTGGGGAGGTCTCAGCACCCCAACCTTGGGGCGCTGAGACCGTTCCGCACTACTCGCAGGGCCTGATGAGGCCAGCCGGGACTACCTGGGGGGCGTCTGTGCGCAACCCGAGGCCTTACCAGGTGTGGCGAGGGGTCAACAGCATGGAATCACAGCGCAAGCGGGGCGGCGGCGTCACGGATCCGCTCTTGCACGCGGCCCCAGTCGTCGATTCACTGATGCCGCGGCCCGCCAGGGGCGAATTGGCGACGCGTCACAGGTCGCGGCGCCCCCAGCTTCGAGTTGTCTGGCGTTTCGGCCCTCGCCAGCTTGCCACGTGGGTGCAGCAAACCAGCGGGGCTTGACCATGCCGCTGCCCGACGAACTCCTCTGCCAGCCTTTCCAGCTCCCTCGCTCCGAGGCGGGAATTTATACATGACCATCGCCTGGAGGATCAATTTTCCGCGGACCTCCACAGGCGGTGGATATGGAAATATTCGGGCCCCCGGGGGCCAGAATATATCCATACCCACCGCCCGCCGAGGCACCAGGGCGTCGGTTCCCAGGCGGTGGATATGGATAAATTCCCGCCTCGCACTCGCCCCTCCCCCTCCTCCTCCTCCTCCTCCTCCTCCTCCCTCCTCCTCCTCCTCCTCCTCCCTCCTCCCTCCTCCTACCGTCCTCCCTCCTCCTCACCTCCTCCTCCTCCTCCTCCTCCTCCTCCTCCTCCTCCTCCCTCCTCCTCCTCCTCCCTTCCTCCCTCCTCCTCCTCCTCTCCTCCCTCCTCCTCCTCCTCCTCCTCCTCCTACTCCTCCCCTCCTCCTCCCGCCTCCTCCCTCCTCCTCATCCTCCTCCTCCCCGCCTCCTCCTCCTCCTCCTCCTCCCTCCTCCTCCTCCTCCCTCCGCCTCCTCCTCCGCCTCCTCCTCCTCCTCCTCCTCCTGCCTCCTCTCCTCCTCCGCCTCCTCCCTCTCTCTCCTCCTCCCTCCTCCTCCTCCTCCTCCTCCTCCGCCTCCCTCCCTCCCTCCCTCCCTCCCTCCCTCCCTCCCTCCCTCCCTCCCTCCTCCCTCCCGCGAGTGCCCTCTGCCCTGCCAGGTTGCCTCCGCCGCCCCCGCGGCCTCCTTCGGCTAAGAACAGCCGGCCACGGGCCCGCGGTCTTCCGCCCGCCGGGCGCCCCGGGCGCGGCGGGCGCCCGGGCACGGCGCGGGCGCCCGCCGCACCGCGACCTCTGCCGAGAGCGGCAGCGGCTGCTCGGCGGCGTTGGTCGAGATGTCATGGTGCAGTCAGAGTACCCAGACCCCCTCGAGTAATGAAAAAATCATGACGGGAGGTTTTTCGCCATTTTCGGCCTCTGGGGGCCCTCACCGGGCCTCGGGACCGTCAAAAAACGACTCAGGACGAAAAACCGGTCCCGGGGAAGGGGTCGGGACCTCTGGGGTCGCGTCATGAAAAAATCATGACGTCGGGGGTCTGGGTAAAACGACGCGAAGATCGGGACAGCGTCGGATCGGGATAGCTCCAAGTCTCCGAGACTCGGCGGGTCTGGAGGGTGTGCCGGGCGCCGCGGCCGCTCCAGAGCGTTCAGAAGAGCGCTCTGAGAGAGCTCCCCGGAACGCTCTGGAGCGACTTATCCCGGTCCCAGTCGTGTTTTACGACAACCCTAATAAGGACGCGCGACTTTGCTCAGGGTACCCTTGCGTCCTTGCTCTTCCCTGCCCTTGCGTCCTGGAGGTTTTCGTCGTCCGCCGCCCCCCAAATCCCAACTTCGGCTTCCAAAGGGTCTTGCGTCCTCACCGCGCGTCCTTAGCAGGGTTTTTGACTGTATCGCGCGACGAAGTCTATACATCTAGGCCCCCTGGAGGGGGTCCGAATAGATGGTGTCGGGGGATCGCGTCTCGACGACGCGGCTCGGCGTGGAGCCCGATTGTCCCCACGCCGGCGTCGCGGATGCGTCGCCGACGTCGGCGATGCATCGTCGATGCATCGCCGATACATCGGCGATGCATTGACCATGCGGCGCGATCCTTCGTCCCCATCTACTCGGACCCCATCTAGGAGGCCTCTAATACAAGTGTTGATTGTGCCCTGGCCGGGCCCTTCCTGAGCTCAGGAGTGGTGCATACGCCCTCGTGGCCAAGCCAGGAGGGCGTGGCGTATGCACCGCAGCTGGGTCCAGGATGGGCCTGCCCATCGAGCAGTGGACATGTATAGATTTCGTCGCCCTAAAGTAGCGCGGCACACAAACGAGGGCCAGAGCCGTCCACTCGGGCGCAACATGCCAGCGATGAGAGAGGGCTCGATGCTCTGATAGAGCGCGCTTGCTACTCTTTCAAGAGTGGGTGTCGCGCATGCGCGCACATCTTTTCGGCAGCTGTGGCAACCCCGCGGTCGCGATTGGTATCACGTTTCGCGCCTTCCTTCCTCTTCAAGATTCTTTGATGATCCTCTGTGGTGTGTTCGTCAGTTCTCGGATCGATATCTCTCCACGCTGAGCTCCACAGGCTCCAAACCGTCCAAGAGGCCCCAGGAGCCCCACAGACGGCCGAGGTGGCCTCCAAGATGGATAACTGCTCTACTCCCAGAGCGCAGAGCGCCTCAGGACTGCTCCAGAAAGCCTCGAGGCGGCAACGGAGGGCCCGCCAGAGTTACCGAGACGGCACCAGGTGGTCCCTCGACGACCCTTCTTCTTCCTCCTCCTCCTCCTCCTCCCTCCTCCTCCTGCTCCTCCTCCTCCTCCCTCCTCCTCCTCCGCCTTCTCCTTCTCCTCCTCCTGCTCCTCCTCCTGCTCCTCCTCCTCGTCCTCCTCCTCTCCATATTCTGGAGTGTCCAGAGCGTGGGGTGGCGGATCGCGTGGGGGATACGGTCGGGAAGTTTTTGCTGAGCGTGTCGCGCCGCTGGTTCTGGCCCAGCATGCTTCGGCGCGACACGCTAGCCATTTTCCCAAGCCCATGCGTCAGCGTTCCGGGAATTTCCCAGCCTCCCGCCCCGCGGAGCGAAGCGATCAGCTCGCAGGGCATGGCGTGTCACCGGGGCCGCCGCCGAGACGCGAAACAACAGTTCTTGACCGCAGTTCTGGGCTGCTCTGCAGGTGGCGTGGGGAGCCGGATCGCGTGGGGTGGGGGGGGGCAGAGCCGGCTGCCGGTCAGGGTGGCATTGGCGCGGGTGCCGATTGAGCTGCTGGGGTTTGGTCACCGGCCTTCAGCTTTGGAGGAGGAGGAGGAGGAGGAGGAGGAGGAGGAAGAGGAGGAGGGAGGAGGAGGAGGAGGAGGAGGAGGAGAGGAGGAGGAGGAGGAGGAGGAGGAGGAGGAGGAGGAGGAGGAGGAGGAGGAGGAGGAGGAGAGGAGGAGGAGGGAGGAGAGGAGGAGGATAGGAGGAGGAGGAGGAGGAGGGAGGAGGAGGAGGAGGAGGAGGAGGAGGAGGAGGCGGAGGAGGAGATGGAGGAGGAGAAGGCCCAGCCCGACCCGCCCCGAGCGCTCGAGCAAGGGCCCGCCCTGACCCGACCGTCCGACGCAGAGCTTCAAGCCTGTTCCGGCCCGGCGGCACGCCTTGGCTCCAGCCCGCTCGCCTGGCCGAGGCTGGCCGCACGCCCACCTGGGCGAGGGGGGGCGGGAGCCGAGGGCTCGGGTCGCGTGTCGCTGCAGGTGCCCTTGGTCCAAGGTTACCAGCCTGGAACATATCCCTATCCCTATGCTGGGCATCTCCTCATCACGATGCCAATCTCAGGGATCCCCTCACTTTTTGAGGGCGGATCCCTGAGGTTGTCATCGCCTTTTGGCGCGTCACTCTTAGGGACAGGGATACGTTCGAGGCTGGTAACCAGGGGCCCCCCAGGGCTTCCCCATGTGGAGGCAACCCCCTGTGTTGGTGTTGGTGCCCATTTCTAGGCCTCCAAGGAGGGGGCGGGAGCCGAGGGCTCGGGTCGCGAGTTGCTGCAGGTGCCCTTGGCCCAAGGGGGCCCCCAGGGCTTCCAAGGAGAGAAGCTGGGGGCACCTCGGGCCAGGGGCACCCTCGGCGCCTCCAGCGTGGGGTGATTGCGGTGGGCTCGCGTCGTGCCGGCGCGGCGGCGACCCCGCCGCAGGCCCTGAAAAGGTTGAGAGCGCCGCCAGTGGCCCAGGATCGGGCAAGATTCGGGGGCGGGAAAGAAGGGGTGAGCATGTCATGGCGTGGGCCATGATATTTCCCCAGATTTCATGGCGCCGCTTCTTATTTTGTTACGTCCCAGGCCCCCCCGCTGGGCCGCGCACATGCCGCCGGTCATGATTTGCACTCCCCCCCTCTTGGACCCCCCCTCTTGGCCGCTCCCGAAGAGTCGGCCAAAAGATGGAGCGATCTGGCGATCGAAGAGCAGCCGATCGTTCAAGGGTTAAGTCGGGCGTGTCCCCCTACAGGGGGATTTTCGCTGAAAAATAGAAAAATACACTCAAAATAGACAAACATAGAGTCCAAACATAGTCTGGGGACTATTTTTTTAGCATGTCTTGACCCTTTTGGAATATTTTTGGGGTATTTTTTTATTTTTCGTCGAAAATCTCCCTTCAGGGGGAGAGGCCCGACTTAATTCAAGGCTGAGCGATCCACGCAGTGACGGAAACCGACACCTGGGGTCGTCACGGCACGAACCTGCCGTCTACACGGAAGGCCTGTTGGGGGCCTTGTGGGGGCTCCCTTGGGGCCCTGGTGGCTTTTTGGGGGCCTCTTGGGGGTCTCTGAGGGCATCATGGGGGGCCCCTGGGGCTTCTTTGGGGCCTCTTGGGGGGCCTGGAGGGGGCTTCTTGAGGGCATCTCAGGCTGTCCCAGGGCTCTCGTGGCCTTTCTGACGCCTTCGGTGGTCGCCTTGGGGTGTTATCCGGACGCTCTTGGGGCGGTTTAGGGCCGTCTTGGGGCCGTCCTGACAGGGCCGTCTTGTAGCAACTTCGGCCCGTCTTGAGGCCTCGTGGAAGCTTCTTGGGCCGTCTTGGAGCTATCTAGGAGGCCTTTGGGGCTGTCTTCGGCTGTCTGAGGCGAGAACGCGAAAATCATTCAAACACCTCCAGAAAATCAAGGAGTTGGATCTTTCCGCGGGCCTCTTGGAGCCATCTTGGGGCGTCTTGATGGCCTCTTGGAACGCCTTGAAGTTAACTTGGGCCATCTTGGATCCATCTGTGCCTTCCTTGAGGTCATATTGGACTCTCTTGGACGCCATCTTGGCAATCTTGGAGCCCTCTTGGGGCTATCTGGAAGGTGAAAGCCAGGTCCACAAGGAACGTTTTCGAACGGATTGAACGTAAAACGTCAAGCACGCCACCAGCCCTTGTGACAAGCACAGGGGGCAGTGGATCCAGCTACCTGTGGCAAGGACCGCCACTGTGCCAGCCCAGTGCTCTCGAAGGCGACTGTTCGAGGGGCGACAGGAGGCTGGAACATGCGAAGAGATCGGCGTTTTCGACCGTCTCGGACACGAGTTGGATTTCTTTTTTGTGCTTTGGGAAGACCACGCTGTGATCTTTTTCAGAAGGACCACTAAGACCCATACGGTTCGGCAACCCAATCACCCCTTTGCACGCAGGAGGGGGCTGCGGATCGAAGACGCCTACGGCGAACCACCGCCGCCCCTTGCCTTTTGGAAACGCCTATGCGTCCAAACGTTGGGCCGAAATGGTGATCGTTTTTTTATTCATCGTTTTGCCGATCGGCGCGGCCCCCCCCCCCCTCCCCCCCCCCTGGAGTAGATCTTGGCTGTTTTTGGCGCCTGTCTCGAGCAGGTGAGGCCTCCCCCAGAGGCCGCACGGTTCCAAGCAGTCGCATTAAGCAGAGGTCCGGAGCCGAACCCCCCCCCCTTTCCACTCGGTGTCGAGACGCCGAATAACAAAACGCGCTGACATGCCCAGCCCGCCCTGCCGACACGTGTTGGGGCGCGACAGACGGGAGTTGTAGGAGGTGGCGGAGCAGGAGGCGGAGGCGGTGGCGGAAGGGAGGGATGATGCTGCTGATGATGATGTTGTTGATGATGATGATGATGATGATGATGATGATGATGATGATGATGATGATGATGATGATGATGATGATGACGATGATGCTGCTGATGATGATGATGATGACGCGGAAGATGATGAGCTGATGCTGATAATGATTACGATGATACTGATGCTGATGTTGCTGCTGCTGCTGATGATGAAGATGCTGATGATGCTGATGATGCTGATGCTGATGATGCTTCTGCTAATGTTGATGATGATGAACATGATGAGGATGATAATGAGGATGAGGGGGAGGAGGAGGAGGAGGAGGAGGAGGGAGGAGGAGGGAGGAGGCGGAGGAGGAGGAAGAAGAGGAGGAAGAGGAGGAGGAGGAGGAGAGGAGGAGGAAAAGGAGGAGGATAAGGAGGTGGAGGCCGAGGCCGAGGCCGAGGCGGAGGCGGAAGCGGATACGGAGGCGGAGGCGGAGGCGGAGGAGGAATAGGAGGTGGAGGAGGGGGAAGAGGAGGCGGAGGAGGAGGAGGAGGAGGAGGAGGAGGAGGAGGAGGAGGAGGAAGAGGAAGAGGAAGAGAAAAATAACGAGGAAGAGGAAGAGGAAGAGGAAGAGGAGCAGGAAGAGGAAGAGGAAGAAGAAGAGGAAGAGCAAGAGCAAGAGGAAGAGGAGGAGGAGGAGGAGGAGGAGGAGGAGGAAGAGGAAGATGACGAGGAGGAAGAGGAGGTGAAGGAGGCCTCTTGAGGCCGTATTGTGGCTTCCTGAGGGCCTCGTGGGAGCTTCTTGGGGGCCTCTGACGGACCTCTTGGGGCCTGCTGGGCGCCTCCTAGAGCCTCTTCGGGGCCTCTTGGAGGCATCTGGGGGTCTCCAAGGAACCTCCTGGCCCTCGGAGGCCGTCTTGAGGGTCTCTCTGGGCAGTCGTGGGTCCCTCTTCAGGCGCTTTACGGCCGTCCTGGAGGTCTGTAGGGCTGTCTTGGGGTCGTCTTCGGGGCTTCTGGGGCCGTCTTGTGGCCCTCTTGGGTCGGCTTGCGGGCCTCTTAGGGGTCTTCTGGCCGTGTTAAGACGATCTTGGGGGCCTATGGGGCCATCTTGGAGCGTTCCAAGCCTGAAACGGCGAGAACGTTCAAATCATGAAACACCAACAGAAATTAATGTTTTTTTGCCTCCTGTCGGTCGTCTTGGAGCCCTCTTGGGGTATCATGGGGGCCTCTTGCCGTCTGAAGGGTATCTTGGGCCGTCTTGGGGCCATCTTGACCGTCTTGGAGGCGTCTTGGGATCGTCTTGGAGTGCATCTTGGGTCATCTTGGCCGTCTTGGAGGCCATCTTGGCCGTCTTGGGGGCCATCTTGTGGCCGTCTTGTGCGGGAAAACCGAGAGGGGATGAAATTTCGGGTGGGGATGCAATGCCGGGCTGTCCGGCGGGATCGGCTGGTAACCCCTGGAAAGAACCAGAGCCGCTCCGAAGTTTGGCAGGCCGTGCG